GAAGCCTGCAGAAGCCTCCCTCAAGCCTTTGGGAAGCCGAAAAAGGCCTCAAACCCACCGAAAATCAGCTGTGCAGCGCACACATGCACAGTGATGTAAGTTTGCCTGCAACTCATGTGGTGGCACAAATGGCTCTGCGTGCTACCTCTGGCACACATGTGATAGGTTTGCCATCACGGCCCTAGACTTTTACATCTAGTTTATATCCTGGGATCTCCTTGTGGTCTCCTTTCTGATCAATAATCAGGGCAGACCCTGCTTTGCTTGGAAAACAAGGGTTGTCTGGATGCTGCCAGAGGTGGAATTAAACTTGGAAGGGAAAAACACTTCGGTCACTGGTTTAGGTAGGGGTGTTTGCAGGGTGAGGTCAGAAAAGTCAATATGGCAACCATGATGGTGTAATCTCCAAAGCTCTGCTTGCTGTTTACAGTTAGTCCTCCTGTAAATTCCTGTTGCTGAGCGAGACAGTTGTTAAGTGACTTTTGGCCCATTTAAGCAGATCAATGGCGTTATTAAGTGAGGACCACAGTTGCTAAGTGAGCCTGACTTCCCCACTGATTGTGCTTGTCAGAAGGTCTCCAAAGGTGACCCCATAATTCCAAGACATAAATATGAGTCAGTTGTGCCTGAATTTTGATCAGGGGACCATAGGAAACGCTGCCATGGTTGTGGGAAAATGGTCATCAGTGTGAACCAGTTGCCAGTCGTCCAAACGTTGATCACACGAGGACGCTGCAACGGTCATAAGTCTGAAAAACAGGCCTAAGTCACTGTTTTCAGTGGCGTTGTGACTTCAAACAGTTATTAAATGAACTGTTGTAAGCTGAGGACTCTAAGTACAGGTCTAGCTATGGCACTCAGCCCTCCTTTGAGCGAGCAACGAAGAGGCCATCATGCAGCGGTTCAACCAAGACGCCCCAGTGAATCAAGGGTGCTGAGTTCGGGTCACCATCTTTTTTTCTTAAGCGTCTTCCTTTTCCAAAATAGGGACGCTCAGTGGCTCGGCGGCTAAGACGCCGAGCTTGTCGATCAGAAAGGTCGGCAGTTCAGCGGTTCGAATCCCTAGCGCTGTGTCACGGAGTGAGCTTCCGTTCCTTGGCCCAACCTAGCAGTTCGAACGCATGTCGAAAGGAACGCAAGTAGAAAAATAGGTACCCCTTTGGTGGGAAGGGAACAGCGTTCCGTGCGCCTTCGGAGGCGTTTAGTCCGGCCGGCCACAGGACCACGGAGACGTCTTCGGACAACGTTGGCTCTTCTTCGGCTTTGGTGACGGAGATGAGCAGCGCCCCCTAGAGCCGGAAATGACTAGCACGGATGTGGGAGGGGCACCTTTACCTTTTACCTTTCCTAAAAGATCCCTCCTGCCCATCTAACCTCTGGTCTTCTCTCCCCAGAGGAAAACGATTATCACCAGCAGGCCGCCGTGCCGCTCTTGTCAGAGACCCATGGAGGGGAGGACGTGGCCATCATGGCCAAAGGACCTATGGCTCACCTTTTCCACGGGGTGCAGGAACAATCCTACGTTGCCCACGCCATGGCCTACGCCGGCTGCTTGGAGCCCTACCAGACGTGCGATTGGCCCGATATGATAGTTAAGAAGTCTGCAGCTGCCCCCAAGGCCGGCCTCGCGGGACTCCTCCTCACTCCCTTGCTCCTCTGGATCTGCTAGTCCTTCCCCTGGGGCATTCTGGGTCAATCTGGCTCTTCTTCCTCCTCCTCCTCCTCCTCCTCCTCACGTCTGGAACGGAGCTGCCCTCTCAGTATCTTCTCCTAGGGGTGGGTGGGCTTCTAAATCATGCGGGTTTTTTTTTAACACCTTGGTGGACTTCAACTCCCAGAATTCCCCATGCCTGGACTCAGGCAGGCTTTCCAAGCTTCTACACCAGGGGTCCCCAAACTGGGCCACTTCTGGGAATTCTGGGAGTTGAAGTCCGCCAGTCTTAGAGCGGCCAAGTTTGGAGGCCTCTGTTCTGCGCTGTTTGCGAGTTCCTTTCCAAGTAAATTTAAGATTTCGGGGTTTCCAGATTCGTGGCAGGTTTAGCTTGCAAAGTGAAGGTTAAGAGGACACGCGCACACGAGATTCGTCCTCTTCCTCCTCCGATGGGGCCATGGCCCTACCTATCTTTTTGATACCTGCAGCTACCTGGATGATCAATGAATGCCAGACGCTCCGTTGCGCATGCGCACAAAAAACCGGCTTTGGCCTTTTTTATTTATTTATTTATTTTTACTTTGATGTCATCAGCAGCAGATAAAAATACAAAGCGACATTTCTGTACAAAAGGCTGCTGTGGCCGACTGGCCAGGCAGTTCTACTCATGGAAATAAGAGGGGGGAGAGGGAGGGGGAGGGAGGGAGAAAGAGAGGGGAGAGATAGGGAGGGGAGGGAGGGAGGGAGAAAGAGGGAAGGAGAGGGAGGGAGAAAGAGAGGGGAGAGGAAGAGGAAGGGAGAAAGAAAGTGAGAGGGAGAAAGTGAGAGAGGGAGAGACAGAGGGAGGGAGGGAGAGAGGAAGAGAGAAGAGGAGATGGAGGGGGAGAGAGAGAGAGGAAGAGAGATAGGAGAGGGAGGGAGAAAGGAAAAGAGGAAGAGAGAAGTGGAGGGAGAGAGAGAGGAAGAGATAGAGAGGAGAGGGAGGAAGAGAGAGGGAGGGAGGGAGGAAGAGAGGGTAGAGAGGGAGGCAGGAAGAGAGGGTAGAGGAAGAGGGAGGGAGAAAGAGAGAGGGAGGGAGAGACGGAGAGACGGAGGGAGGGAGAAAGGGAGAGAGGAAGAGAGAAGAGGCGATGGAGGGGGAGGGAGGGAGAAAGGAAGAGAGAAGTGGAGGGAGGGAGAGAGGAAGAGATAGAGGAGAGGGAGGAAGAGAGAGAGGGAAGGAGGGAGTGGTTGGAAAAAAGGAAGGAGGGAGCGGGAGACAGAGGGAGGGAGAGAGAAAAGGGAGGGAGAGAGAATGTGTGAATTGTATGTCTCTATGCACCCAGGCATGCAGCTGCCTGGCTCAGCATGAATTTGGGCCTGCCTTCTCTAATACCAGGGGTGTCAACCTGGCATCCCGGGGGGGCGGGGAGGTGGGGAGGTGCGCGGATGCATCACACACAGACCACGCCCACCCTAGCTCCACAAAGGGGGGAAAACCTCACAAAATGTCAGGTGACGGCAACGTGACGCGGTGAGTTTAACCTAAGGCAGGGGTCCCCAACCACCGGGCCGCGAACCGGTCCCGGTCCATGGAACATTTCCTACCGGGCCGCCAGTTTGCTGGGTGCCGCCATCTTGTTTGACGAGAAAGTGCTTCCGGGTGAGCTTTTCCGGTTGGAAAGCGGCGTTTGGGTCCTGAAGGAATCCTCGCGCCTTAATTTCATCGAAGGAGGGGTGCTTCGAATGAAACTAAGGCGCGAGGATTCTTTCAGCACCCAAAGCAAGGCGAGCCGAGCGACCGTCCCAAAGCCGTCCCGAAGCGAAGCCCATCGACAAAGGTACAAAGGAGGAGTTGAAGGTGGCGGGGAGAAGCGGGGGACGGCTGGCTGGCCGGTCGCTCGGCT